GGGGGGGGGGGTACCATAAATTATCACTGGATAGAAATCTTTCATGCGAAATTATGTTTCAAGCGGTCATCCAGAAATTGAACAGACCTTCCCATTGTTTGCGATTTGTTTTCCAGGGACTGTCGCCAAAGGCCAGGGATCCTGGTGCTCGAAGGGTTAAGAGATTTCTCCCCATAACTTTGCAGGGAGAAAGACTCCCTCGCATTCCCCACAGTCCAACGCTGCTTGCTGCTGTAGCCCATTTAGAAAAAGCTACTTCTCGTTTTGAACAATCCGGCGTTGCCATTCCGCCTCTCATCACTGGGTCTCCCCGTGGTCTCGGCTCGCGTCCCAGCCGGGTCTCAGAGCCTCAGAAGGCGCCACACAAACTCATGAGAGACGAGACGGGGGGGAGTAATTCCGTGGCGGTCTTAGTGATTTTCAGAAAATTGGTATATATTGCGCAGTTTTCTTCAGTTGTGTTGTTTGTTTTATTACGTTTTTGCGGAATCACTTATGGTAACTATCACTGATTAAAGGAGAAATGAAGGATCCGTTAACATACCAGCATTCCCTGTGAGAACTTTCCTTAAGCCTCTGTCTAGTTCTCTGGCTAAATCCTTCCTCTTCAAGATTTTCATAGGTGGCATGTGTGTTTGTGTGTGTGTGTGTGTGTGTGTGTGTGTGTGTGCGCCTGCGTGCGTGTTTCACGTAAACGTGAAGGGTGTGTGGGTTTACAGGCTTGGGGGGATTCATATGAATTTCAACTGCCATCCAGGTTTGGTACTGAAACTCCTACGACAGTGTAGGAAGGGTAGACAAAAGCGGGATTTAAAGCTGCTTCCATAGGCAGAGAAACTGGGGAGACTTCAGATCCCCCATAAAGTGCACAAACCCCAGTCCCTCGGGCAAACACTACAGTCAGTACATCATTTTTCGCATTAAGGCCGAATGCAGTCAAAACATTTTCAGGGCAAAACACTGTCAGAAATTTCATATCTTGTGGCAAATATCGGCTGCAGCATCGCTATTGAAAGTCTGACCGGAATCTGAATGGCGGTAGTACATTCCATTCCGGGTGGCTTGCGCATTATTCAGCTGAGATAGAGGTGCTCATCCCCAGTACTCTGGCCACCGTTCGCGTCACATGACCTGCAGTGAGGCCTGACATTGGCTGATAGGAGGCCGCCACCCCCGATGGATTCCAGACAAACAGTGAGAATGGCTGTGAGGGTGCTGTTATCATTACAGGCAGAAAGTGTACTGAAGCAAGAACAGGGAGTCAATTTGGGCACAAAAATATATTCCATAACAACTGTGTGTTTGTAGTGCTTCTGTGTTTACTGATGGAAACCCTTCTCTCACCTCCAAACGCTGTATAAACGGTCTACCTCCTACACTGATTGTTGGAGATGGAGGCTGCATGTGACTACTGTTTGACACAAACACTGTAGCTATTTAACCAACGAGTGAGCAATAAGTTATTTTTTATCTGAAGTAATAACAATGGTGACAGGAATACTGAGAAAGACCAAGGGGCATTAAAACCTCTATAACGTTATGTTTGGAGAAAAAGGGTGTTTTCTTTCCAGGCGTTTTTTTTTTTTTTGTTTTGTTTTGTTTTTTGAAACTTTGTTTATGATTAAAGTGTCCGTATGTTCGGTTGCTGTTGTGTTTCGGTTTTTCCTTTTTGTGCGGTGGGGGGTGGGGGGGGGGCACATGGTCACGCCAACAGATTCGAAAGCTTCGGCTCAGATGCCGAGAGGCGATGTTTTACTTTCACAAGCGGCGTGCCAGCGGGGGGAACCCGGGGGTTTTCGATTCCTCAGTCTTCCTCCTTTCGTTTTATTTATTTTATGTTCCTGTTTTGTTTTCTTCTTCCTCTGGAAATTTTGACTTAAAAAATTCCTAATAAATTATTTTAAAACGTTCCCGTCTCCCGTGTGCTTCTCTGGCTGTTGTGGATCCTTGGTCCCGATGTAGGTGTTACACACGGCGTCTCACGGTGCTGCCCCACTAGGGTCTTGTCCATGTGTTTCTTGTTGCTCCCACCCCTTTGCTCCTCCCACCAACACTTACTCCCACCCACTCCCAGGCACGGACATAATATTCAGCTCAGAAAAAACTCATCTATCTCTGGCTCAGTCGTCAGTTTCTTGCCTTGTGCCGCCTTGATCTTAGTCACTTTTTCTGCAGATTCACCTCTTCCTTTCCCTCTTCCTCTACCAGCTTTTTTTTTCCCCAGTCTCTTCCTGGCCCTCTTCCTCTTTTTCCTCTTTTCTTATTGCACTGTGTTTGACCTGCCCTCCCCATGTCTCGTCCAATATCCCTGGAGGTGGTGCAGCCGAGCTCTAAGGGCTCCTGGAACGGGAGCCTGAACCACAGCCTGGTGGACGAGGAGTGTCAGGTCCCTCCCCTACGGAGCTACCTCCTGTTTACCATCTTCACCTGCTTCTGCCCTGCATACCCCGTCAACATCGTGGCTCTGGTCTTCTCCGCGATGGTGAGTCTAGCCCGGGACCAAAGTGACCTGCAGAGAGAGGAGCTCTCCGTGCTGCTGCATGGTGTCCGGCTGTGAGGAAGCCCGCGGCTTCTGGCTGACGTTGATGGGCCCAGCAGCTGGATGTGTGGCGCCCAGCCTGTCCCATGTTTTGCCTGTTTTCCCAGTCTGCGTGTGCCCCCACCCCCACCCACAGGACTCCACAGCTGCTCCAGTTGGGTGATTGTTTGATGCCATAAATATCAGTTTGCTTTTTCGTTTTGTAGCTTTTCCCGATCTGTTGGAGCGTAACGGTGCTGCCACTGGGGGGCTATTTTTATGAGGTGTAACGCTGAGCCTTTGTAAAAAGCGCGCATGGTGGCGGAGATGTTTGCACTCCGTTTATCCCTGAGCCCGAACCACCGCTGGGATCTCAATGAAAAGCTGTTTAGGATTATTTCCTTCAGTATAAATCCAAGAGCAGATAGTGCGAGGACAGATTTCCAAAGTGCCGCGTCAAAGATATTTGTCTCATTTGCACATTTCATGGAAAGGCTTTTAAAAACTCCTTCTTTATTGATTCTTCTTAGCATCAAAGGGATTTTTTGACATATTGAAATACATAAATCTCCCTTTTGGGGAATGTGAGCCAATAATCATTTTAGTTGACCTAAAGCTAATGCCACAAAAAGAAAATATACAAATAAACAAAACAAATTTACAAACAATTATTTAATTATAATAAATGATAATTTAATTATAATTATTTTTTGTATTGTTTCATATCATTGCCAATTGTTTTTTTCCCCCAGAGAATAGGTAATAAACCAGCTGATCTGAGATCAGTATGGAGGGGGTGACTCGCCTGTGAAGTCAGTAGACTGATTGGGGGGTTATGAAGTCCTGCTGCTCCCTGTCTTTCTGTATGGCTGTGAGACATTGTCGCTATCCAGTGAGCTGAGACGAAGACTGGACTCCTCCGGTACTGTGTCTTTTGGGAGAATTCTTGGGTGCTTCTAGTCTGACTTTGAGTCCCGAATGAGGCACATTACCTGCTTTGTGAGGGAGCGTCAGCTGCGGCACTACGGCCACGCGGCGCGTTTCCCTGAGGGTGATCCGGCTCACAGGATCCTCATTGCTGAGGACCCAAGCAGTTGGACCAGGCTGAGGGGACACCCACGTAACACCTGGCTGCGGCAGATGGATGGCCCTCTCAGGAGGGTGGGACTGAACCGCGTTTCGGCCTGGGGGGTTGCCAACCAGGATCCCAAGGTGTTTTGTCGTGTGGTGGGTGCGGCATTATACCAGTGCACGCTCCCCAACCTGTCCTGACCTTGAAACACTTTTCTTTTAAGATGTTTACTGTTTCCAGAGCAATACGTTAACTTAATTGTGATACCAGTATCCGGGCTTAACATCTCACCTCCTGGGACAAACCCCCCCCGGGGGCCACCTTAATCCAGCTGTCTGTTGCCCCACCAAAACTGACATTAGCATGAAGGTGTAGCTGGGTGGGCTGCAGGCCTGAGAAGGGGTGGATCTAAGGGGGGTGGGAACCACATTGCCATCCCACATCAATAAATCTCACCGATCGATCTGTGGATTCCCCCAGTTAGTAAGTTATATCATCCGCACCCCCAATTCACACTCATTTCTCTTTCGGGTATGGGGCCTCAGAAGCCGCCCCACGGCCACCCCCATAAATATACCTGGCCGCCCCAATCAAAATGTTCTGCAGCCACCAATAGCAGTGCGGAGAGTTTATGGCGCCGTGATGGAGAGTCACATGCCCGGGTCACACAGGTAAGCTGAGAGCAGGCTGACGAGTGAAGCAGCTGTGACCTGGTTTCATCTGCACACCATGACACCCCCCCCCCCTGCTCCTCACGTGCAGCCCAGGCTCCTCCCACTGACTGGGGATAACTTGTGCATGCCGATGCACTCGTGTGTCCGATTGCTGACACAGTGCATCCGGCTGCTAGCTGATTACCGTCCGGGGAAACAGCCCTTTCCAGCCTCAGGGATCATGTCACTGAGGAGAGGGACAGTCAGACAGACAGATACATGGGTGCCGTAATGAGTTTAGGATGTGAGTCATGGATTCACAATGAAAGACATACACGCATCAGACATTTCATATGAATAGTTATTAATACGACAACAGCCAATGAAGGATCAATATCATATGGATCAGTTCAGAATCCTGTGCGCTCAAATTGCAATAACAGAAATACTGAGGGACCGGAAGAGTCCGACAGTAACCTGGAGCATTGATTGCATAGTCTACCCACAATGCAATGTGAGTGTTATTTCTGTGGCTGCCCTTGGTAATTACTTTCACTAGTTCTCACCTGAGATGAGTTTCCCCCCAGAGCTGAATCTGTCTGCATGGTATAGCTAGAGATACAGCAGTCATGTCATATGAGAATGTCATTTATTAAGTAGATTTTAAGTACCCTCTCCTCTGGTAAAGAGCTGTAGTCTACTAACCCTCAGATACACCGACTCTCGCGACGGCCTCCTGGCATCAGGGAGTGGGACAGCTGGCCGAGTCCACCATCTTATCGCTGATTTAGAGATACATATATTTATTAAATCTATCACACTGCCAAGTCTGTTAACCTGCAGGCATCAAATGCTCTCTGGATAAATGAACTCTGAGGGCACACTTACGGGAGAGGGATAGATCGAGGCTATTCAACTCACGGTCCTCGAGGTCCGAGCCCTGCTGGTTTTCCATCCTTCCTTTACCTGTGAGCCAGGTGTGAAGCCTCTGGCCAATCAGAATCAGTAATTATTAAACTGAAAATAAGGCCTGGATTTGGAATCCATGTCCAGATTTGAAGAGTCCTGGGATAGATCTTGTTCAGTGCTGCCTGAGCAGGTGTGCAGTTGTAATCACAAATACACTAACAAAGGTGTATATGAAAGGCAAGGCCACAGATATATCTTATGTATGTATGCGGTTACAGGCAGTGAGCTGAGGGTCTAGAGCTGTGACTTCATAAAATGTCCATGTCTCTCGGCTTATGACTCATCTCTCACCTCTGCCGTCTCATTCGTTGCTGTCCTCCTTCCTCATTCGCTCCTGTCCTCCTTCCTCATTTGCTGCTGTCCTCCTTCCTCATTTGCTGCTGTCCTCCTTCCTCATTCGTTGCTGTCCTCCTTCCTCATTCGTTGCTGTCCTCCTTCCTCATTCGCTGCTGTCCTCCTTCCTCATTCATTGCTGTCCTTCTTCCTCATTCGCTCCTGTCCTTCTTCCTCATTCGCTGCTGTCCTCCTTCTTCATTCGTTGCTGTCCTCCTTCCTCATTTGCTGCTGTCCTCCTTCCTCTCTCTTTTCCTGGTGTCTTCCCCATGTGTCTGTGCAGTCCAGGAACAGCTATCAGAATGGGGACTATGAGGATTCGCGGAGGCTGGGGCGTAAAGCCCTGCATGTGGGAATTGCCTCAGTCATCCTTGGCATCACCATCATCATCATCTTCTGTGCTGTTCAGTTCACCAAGGTGAGATAACCTTCTTTCACCCGCCAAGCAAAACTCTCCTCTTGCATAGACTACTAGGTTACCCACTGCCAAACCTCCACCTGAACATGTGTATTCCAGTAAATGAATTTGAACCCCCCCCCCCCCCTAAATGTAACTGTTACCGATCAAGCACCACGTAACCATATGGGAAAACTCCCCTTGAAATTCGCCTGAAACCGCCTATACAGTGAAATCTACAGAAGGGGACTCCCCCCCCCCCGGCAAAATCTACAGGAGGGTTGTAACAGTCCCCCCTGCGAAATTTATTGGCCACAGGCCTACTCCATTTATCCACCTGCTCCTGTTACGTTGCCCCCCCCCCCCCCACACACACACACACACTGAACTTCAACTACAGGTGCACATTTTCAATTAACAACCTGTGCTTGTATTTATTCCCCCAGCAATAAGTCTGAGATTAAAGACAAAAAAAATACCACAATCGGATGGAACGGCAGAGCAGAACCACTGAGAAAACACCAAATGCTGAGGAAGGCCGCCGCGGCTCTGGGATCGCACAGCGTGAGCACAGCATTATCTCCTCTCTGTGTCGCCAGAAACTCTTCCTAAGTTTTGATGACACTGTTGTCATTGTTGGATGCCAAATAGCGAGCATTATTTACAAGAAAGAAACAGCGTTGTCTACTTTTCCAATTATTGTTATTTGTCTGGGGCAAATATATATATATACTAAATTAACAAAATAGTAAGTCAAAATAGTATTCCTACCTTTAAATGGCAACTCGTACTTTAAGAGAATTCACAAGTTTATTTGATGGCAGCATGTTAGCAACGCAATATATGTTTGCGCCTCAGTGCTCCGCGAAATCCGCAAGGAGCAGGGCTCTGGATGCTTAGGCGACCGTTATAGGTCTATATCAGCTTTCAAAATATGCATTATTATTGTAATCTTATTTTTAATATTCGAGTATATTTATCCTGTTTTTCCAAGTTGCAAATAGGGTTTTAATGCTAATATTCATCATTGTGCTACCCCAGTGAGTCTAAATCCTTTTGCGAATGTTTGTGATTTATAATATATATATCAATATAAATATTTATATATTGACTAAACGCATTACACAATGAATAGGGTAATACTATAGTATTATTTTAAAAAAATATTATTCTTTACTTCGCGTAACCATAAAAATGCCCGAATTTAAAATTGTTTCTGTAGAATTTGGTTTTATATAGCCTGTCAGTTATTCAAAATAATTACAGACATCATTTAAATTAAAAGAATACGTGTATTATTGACTGTAGTCAGAATATGCCGCACGAGAAGAAGTGTTATCATAGGATAAGTACAATAATTCATAATAACTGTGGATTTACTGTTTGTCCCGATAGTTACTTTGCCAGCTTGTCTTCTTAGCTGGATTTTAGCAGGAACTTTGAAGGGGGGTTGCGGCCAATCAGTGATGGTGGGGTAAGAAACAGACACAGGAAAAGAAAACTAAGTGCTCTTCAGTCCATGGGGACCACTGGAGTGTCCTGTAGATGATGGGTCCACCTCAAAGCGGGGAAAATAAGTAATGCACGCTTTTAGGCACACCTAACCCCGCCTAGGACAGCCCTCTCCCTCGGTGCCGTTTCCCATTACGTGAACTCTTCTGAGTCTGCAGTTACAATAAAGGTTTTCACAGGCATTTAATATGTAGATTTTCTGTTTTTGGAATCATCAAGCACTTATGTAGGAAGAAAGAGATCGACAAATATAACGATCGTGTTTTTAAATCCTACAGTAGAAGGGGCGTCCTGTTAATGAATATCCTAGCAAGAAAAAATTGTATTGTAAATTTATTTTTTTATTGAAAAACAGAGACAGGATCGATTTTCATGTTTGTAAACGTATACCACCTTGCGGTAAAATCCCACCAAGGTTACAGACATATCTTGCAGCGAAGAGAATAATGTAGGCCTTAGCAAAATGCGCCCTCAGTCATGACAGCAGTCTTTTGACGTGCTCTTGTATGTCTTGTGTATTGTAAAAGTATAGGATAATCCGTAGGAATCAAATGAAATTCTGATCAGATTTTGATTTCAACTTTATTAAATTACATGTTTTTTCTCTTTAGTGGTTATTTGCCGAAATTAAAGCTGCTGGTATATAGGAGGACTATGTCATGGTGTACTTTATACACAACTTAAGAGTAGACATATATTTGGAACAGATTCTTGACCCGCTCAGCATTGGATGAAGGGGTAGGGAGGCCAGATTATGCCACGTTTCTTTAATAATAAAAAAAAAAAGGTTTTTTTTTTTACCCGAAAAAAAAGTTTGTTGATTTTCCTTGTAAATGTATATAATTCTTAAAAATAAACCTTACGTGTTAACAAAAACGTTTTGGATAAGCGGTTGAAAGACGCATGACTTATGGAAGAGTGTATCATGTATCCTAAAAAAAGCAGAAACGTGGTCTGCTGTACATGTGCGTAAAGTTATGAAGACAGTATGTACATAATCAATTTTATCGTGTATATTATTGTGTGCAAAGTAATGTAAAAGGCATTCCTTTAAAAATTACAGTACATGTATTACTAAAAACAATCAATGCTCAGGTAAATCTGGTAATCCCGAAACATGTATTGGGTCACATAACACGTTTACGAGTAAATGACGGCGTATTCCCAGCCGCTAACATACACGTAGAATCCGAACATAGAGACTTAATTGTCTAACATATCTGTAAAATTTATAATAGACTGCACTGATGTTTGTTGGAGAGCGATGTGTTATTGTTGCACTGATGTTGATAAATAACAGACAGGTACTGTAATTGTATTTCTTAATAAAGAATGAATCCACCCTGACATCCAGATAATCTGTCTGTCTCATTTGTCGTAATCGATTTTTCATATCTTTTGGGGACGGCAGTAATTTCACTGTATTAAATATGCATTTAATGTTATCATTCTGATGCGCGCAACTCCTCCGAAACTATTCGGAGCCCCTGAGTTGCCGACTTTGGTCAGCTGGTTAGAGTGAGATTTTAAGTTGGAGTCAAGTCTGCACATACACGCACACGCATTTACATGTATGTAACAGTTGTATTACCTAGCAAATTGTCTTTAGGGTTTGCAAACTACCCCGACGTTTTTTTAAGTATTATTTTTTTAGGTTCATAATGGAATAATATAGATGCACCGTAGGATTCCTTGCATGAGCGTGACAGTCTGAAAGCGTGAGAGTTACGCCAGATGCGTGAGAGCTGGCAGCCCCACGTGTAAATCGTGCGGCTCGGACTCAGGAGCAGAGTTCCGGCCATTCGAAAGGCAGGCATCCCGCTGCAGGGGAAGGTGGAGTCCGCTGTGACTCACGCAATGAAGCGGTGGGGTGAAGGACGTGTTACAGGCAGGCGCAGATGTTGTTCACGGGGTGGTCCGCTTCCTCTCTCTTTCTGCATCTTGCGCCAAAGGCAATCTGCAGAGTCTGAAGTATCCTGTACTTCGATATGTAATCCTATCACCCGCCAGAGGCTAAATATAAAACAGATTATATGATAGTTTAGCCCATCCTTCGCCGGAGCTGTGACTGGACGAAGCTGGGTCTGGGCGGCTTTCATTTATGAATCGCCACCGAAACTTCACCATGATACTCTGCAAACATAATACCATTAAATGTGTTATTCAGTATGTTGTATATAATATTATTCTTTGTATTATCATCGCCTCCTTTGGAGTCAATGACGTATTTTGAACAGCCCCGTTCATATGAGCTAAATCGTTTATTTTACATACATTGTCTTGCATTGAACAGGTCTAATTGTGTTACATTTTGCAAACAAACCTTGACAGTACAAGTTGTTACACCGTGTTAATGACCTTTTCCAAATTTTATTTGACAGCTAATTCATAGGTTTGTTGTGCAATTCTGCATGTTTCGCTGAAGGTCATTCTGTTGGTGGGGATCAGAACATCATGTAAACACGCGAAAACAATTTGGTCTTTACGGAGACCGTTTCTAAGGACGCTACAGTATTATTTTTTATTAAATTGTGTTTCGCCCAATGTAACCGATGCCCTTGATATTTAGCTGTTTCTATGTCATCGCGCTTCGCCCCGCAGCAGGTAACACTGTGGATGTTTTTGAGCAATCCTAAGTAGACGGGAGTAACTCCATTCTGTCCAGTATTACCAAGCTAACAACACATGTTCGGTACCCTGTCGTAATAACGGGTCCACGCTTAGCATTTATGAATGACATTTGCACGAATAAAACACCGATCGTTAGGCTATTGTTAGGATTTCTCAATGGATGGCGTTAAGACCCCCGCATTGTAAGTGTATTATACCACGTTAATTAAACCTTACTGTTGGCTTCTATTTAATAAGACACGAGGACAGAAGCGGGATAAGTTTAAACCTTATATTGTAAGACTGCCGAGATCAAACCTTTGTACCTTAGTGTGTTTGGCCAAATGCAGGCTCGTGGACAGCGCGAACCAGGCATGAGCAAAGATTCACTGAATGTACTATATACGCGATATATAACTTTCTAGTTTTCAGGAAACCTATTATTTTGAGAATCTCCGTTGACAATCTATCCATCTGCATGGAGTCACTTTTGTAGATAGTTTACAGTTGATAGGTATGAAGTACGCTTTTAAAAACTCCAGTTAAGCTTATATTAAAATGTTTAACCGTTTGAACGATGTTAATCCCCCACTAAGATATAGACGAAAATATAGAAGACCATTTTCTCGTATAGCACTGTGCGATCTTGAGGACGGAGGAATGGGTTGGCCTTCGTGGTGACGCAGATAGTTATTTGCATCAAACGCCGAAAAATGGCGAAATAAAAACATAAAGAACGATAAGACGCATAGAACTGAAGGTAAGGACACGTACTGGGGAAAAACTTTATGAAGACGTGACTAATGCAGCGCGTACATGCGCTAAACGACGCGCACGTGTATGGTTTTAATGCACTGCTGCAGGCACGAGTTGCATATTCAAAGCACATCTTTTGCATTCGTCTGAACAGGCTTAGCCGCTAACTTGAATGCAGCCATGCATATTTACAGTGCTCCCTTAAAGGCGAGCTTAATTTCATCATGCAGTTAACTTAAGCATTCGAGCATGTTTTATGATGGAAAAGCAGTTTTGATTACCGATGGCGATTCTGAATATTTCGTACATGTTTCTGTCAGTGTGATTGTTCTCCTACAACCGGTGGGTATGCACCTGTGTCGTGCTGGATGGGTGTTTTTATATATATACATACATACATACATACATACATACAGACACATATATGTGTATGTGTGTGTGTATGTGTGTGTGTGTGTGTGTGTGTGTGTGTGTTTATTTATTTATTTATTTATTTATGTGCCGTCACACTGCCGCAGATCCAGGTTTTGCCATTTGTCGCGGCGAAGCTATGGGGAACACAAGCAGCGAGCGAGCGGGCGTCGTCCAAGGGGACAAAGTTCACCGACGGGACAGTCGTGGGGCCAAGGAGGGCGAGTGTCCAAAAATCCTTATGGACAGCCCTGAGGACGCGGACATTTTTCACGGAGAGGATATTAAGGTGCGGGACACCCAGAGCCGGTGTGATGTGACGATGCGGTTGGTGTCCTGAATATGCGGCTAGAGAGAGAATCCCCACTTGTCCCATTTTGACCTTGGCTCTATAAACAAGTCAATTTGTGTCAAATTATTTAAATTTAATTTCTGTTGTTAAGTCTTTAGCAGTTACACTTGATATGAGTGACACAGATGAGTAAATAATCATGTTCAGTAATTATTTAATCTGATTTAGTAAAGTGATTGTTGTTGATGCTCTACTTTCTGAACGTTTTCTTTAAATATTGACAGTGTATAATTAGTCTTGCTTGTTATTTTTATATCACTGGTCGTTATCAGTCTGTGTTTTAACAGTGATACTGTGGGCACCCAGTAACTGAATGTACTTTTGTGGATAACAGGTGGCATGATGGTTAATAGGCAGAACGTTATGAGGAAAATCTACGACATGCGATAACATTGTTCAGTTACGCGATGATGCATTTCAGGCAGTCTGTTGCGATGTGTTTATTGCGTATGTTTATATCGCGATGACGATTAAAATAGGATTTATCGGTCAGCCCTAATGGTCAGCACTAATGGTCAGCACTAAGGACTCTGCAGATTCTGGTAAAAAACGATGTCATTCTATTTTTAACCTTTAAACAGGGTGCATCCTAAATTTGTTGCTGTTTCATATGCAGTTGTGTCGACAGTTAATTTTTGGAGGATGGGGGTTGCTGTAGCTAATTCAGTGATGCCACGCAATTTGACAATGGATTTTTTAATTGTTTATATCGTCTTTTGTGCTGGTTTTTCAAAGGCTCCAGCTGAGAAGGAATTTCTGACTTGGCAACCCGATCTGGAGCATGATGACAGCGGCTCCATCCAGGACCGGCCCACCGTGTTCCGATGGACCGGGGCTGGCAAAGAAGTCTTTGTGTCCGGCTCATTCAACAGCTGGGTCACTAAGATACCTCTGATCCGGAGGTACGGGATGCGGGGGCAGTTGGGTTTACTGTTGCCACAGCAACAAAGCAGCTGCAAATTTGTGGGTTCGAATCCACAGGAAGGGGACTGATCCTGTGCTCTTCTGTTAGGCATTCTGCCAGTTGTTGAATATTCAGGTTTATAAATAGATCAAGTAGACCAACGTCTTTAGCTTTTGGTAAAAATATCTGCATAAATAATAACAAGTGACAGCAGCACTCTTGTGATCATTGACTAATTTATGTGTTTGTGTCTTTTTGCTCTATTCAAATGTCTATTTCCTCCTAAGTCAGAACAACTTTGTGGCCATAGTTGGCCTCCCGGAAGGTGAGCACCAGTACAAGTTCTTCGTTGATGGTCAGTGGACCCACGACCCCACAGAGGTGAGTACATCTTCAGAGCAGCCTGTTTTCTCAGTTGACAATGTTATATATATATATATATATATATATATCTCACTTTATTTGGTTTGTATTTGTAAGTAGGGATAGGTAGAGATGTGACATGTGGCGATGGGAATGGAGTTGTGCTGCACAATGTTGTTTCCAGCCAGTGGTAACCAGCCAGCTCGGCACGGTCAACAATGTCATCCAGGTGAAGAAGACGGACTTTGAGGTGTTTGATGCACTCATGGTCGACTCACAGAAATCCTCGGACATGTCAGGTAGGCTCAACCAAAGCTCTGAACCAGTGTTTCCCAGTCCGGACGTTGGGGACCCACAGCCGGTCCACGCTTTTGCTCCCAGAAACTTGAACTGTCTGTTAGTCGCTGCTCTAAACCAAAGATCCAAACACGAACTGTTTATCTCTAGAGACTTTGAGGGTGATACGTGGTTATGCGTTAAGTAGTCTAGTTCAGAATGATGTGGTGGGTTTGTAGTCACTTTAATGGACACACTTGTTTGTGATAATGATGGTTTCCCTTGCTGGACTGTAAAGCACCTTCTCATCATATCTAATCCCAGACTTGTCCAGCTCTCCACCTGGTCCGTACCACCAGGACCACTACATGCCTAAACAGGAAGAGGGCGCCAAGTCCCCGCCCATCCTACCGCCGCACCTTCTGCAAGTTATCCTTAACAAGGACACGGGCATTTCTGTAAGTGACCGGCCAATCGGGGCACTGTGTACACTGCATGTTGGCTGGATGCTTAACCACCGTTGCTCCAGTAAATGGCCTGACAGCGCAAGTAAGTCACTGAGTCCAGAGTTGACAGCTTAGGTTTTGATACAGGTCATAATCTAAATCAGTGGTTCTCAACTTTTTTTGCACCACGACCCAATTTTTACCATGCCAGCTCAGTCGCGACCCTATATCAAGTAGGTTTAAATTAACGCTGTGATCAAGTGCACAGTGCACTCTGCAATTTACGCCAATCAATGCCTATTGTACAGATCTGATTGGATGTGCCAGTGAATTTTAAATTAAGCATCTGTGGTTTGGCCTCTTGGATTGGTTGAGAGTTCACTAGTTTTGTGCTAAGCATTTGCAGACCTAAGACCTGTTTATATAGGTTAATTCTAGGATTGGGGGAGGGAAATCTGATCGTGGATCAGCATAGGAGCTCGCTGGTTTTAAAATGCTTACATTTCCAACTCCCGACCCTTTCAGAACTTGCAGCGACCCACCGTGGGTTGAATCACTGATCTAAATATCGTCTCACGCGCTTGTGAGAAGGAAGCTGGTGACGTAGCAAAATAAGTTTTTAATTCTTGCAGTGTGACCCTGCCCTGCTTCCGGAGCCTAACCACGTCATGCTGAATCACCTGTACGCCCTCTCCATCAAGGTAAGCCAGTGGCGACATGAGCACACGCTGAAATGCCCATGTGATGGTTTTGGCTGCAGGAAGGGCTCTCCTTTGCTCCCCCTTCAGGACGGCGTGATGGTGCTGAGTGCCACTCACCGGTACAAAAAGAAGTACGTCACCACTCTCCTTTACAAGCCCATATGAACGCTGGACACTGAGACTTCTGTCAATTCCCTTCCTGTTTTGCCTCTGCTGTTTCCAATCACGAGCATCGCTGTGACATCTTTTCATTTTCAGTCGTCCTCAGACGAGTATAGCCAAGGAGTGTGAACAAGATTTCCCAGAATGCTCTGGCTCAAAATTGCACAGTGACAAGCTTGCTCTTGCTTCCCTAGTGGGTAAGGGAAGGTTCTTGGTATGAAGGTTCAATGTTTCAAGATAATGGGCCTCATTCACCAACCGTTCTTAAGAAGTAGTTTCTTCTTAAAACCCACTTAAGCAGTTTTAATGAAAATTCTGACATTCAATGTTTTATTTGGGATTTGTTCTTAGGTAAGAACAGAACCTACGCACAATCAAGAGCACATTTATGCACGTTTGATTGCTCACAAGTTTGTACAAAATAATAGCTTATTGCGCTTTCTTCAATTCTGCAGTTGTATAATATTATAGGATTTAAATTCCAACAATATTTTTATTATTTATACAATTTTAAAATAATAATTTAATTACAGTTTTAACAATGAATATTTTAATAATTATTTATTACTAATATTTTTTTAGCAATTATTAAATGATTGAAACAAGTAATAGGATCCTATGCATCTTTTATTCTGTTATTGCATATCCACCCCGCTAAGTATGATGGCTCGTTTGCTGTTCACATCCTACAGCAGTACCTTCTCTTCAGAACTGCAGTCGTCGTTCTTACATTTGCAGTCCGGTGCTCCACTGAGGGCCTGGCAGGGCATTTAGCTATTAGGACCGACTGACGCATGCTTTCAGTTTACGAGAACAGTGGGATTCATCGTTATAAGAACACATTTGCAAAGAGATCTGTGGTTTAAGAACATGTCGCGAATCGGATGTAGGCTTTCTTAGAACCTTCTTAGGACCTTTCTCAAGAACAAAACCTTAGGATGAAATTGTTGAATGAGGCCCACCGTTTGTAGAACTCTCATGAACTATAAAAATGCGACTTTTTGGTACAAACAGTGTTCTTCTTCTCTCTCTCACTAAGCATCTTCGACAAAGTCACTTGCCTGCATATCTGATGAGTCTCTGTCATCCACACATTCTTTTTCCTCCCGGAAATTCGTTTACAGACATAATACTCTAACATTCTGTTTATATCGACAGTAGTATAAATTTTTGATTTGTTTCTTACAATTAGAGTATGCTGCTGAAATAGTCTAAGGGGCAGCCAGGAGAAATGAGGGACCAATGGCTGGGAAAAACAACTGAATGGCTGTGGTTCCGGGGAACCTGTCCGGGCTCCTCCTGGCCCTCTCAATACGTGATCGAGGGATCTGCCCATTTCCTTGATCACTTCCAGATCGCTTCCTGCCGAGGTTATCGGCACCTGTAGAGATTGTGGATTGGATGTCATCATGCCAATTGATATTTGTGCCCAGTTTCTAACATAATAAAGGATGTGATTCTGTGACGACCCTTCGCCTTGTCACAATCATTGTGTGAGTGAATACAGTGACCTTGAAGAGCAGAGTACCCAGCTGCATTGCATTGTGGGTTTGCCCGTGTCTGTGTGTGTATATGTGTATGAGAACCAGTAGAGGGCAGTGTGCTACCTTCTTGCCTGATGAACAAATCCAAAGAACAATCCATTAGCCTTTATTGCACCTAATTTGTATCACCTGCAGTTGGCCTGCATCCCGTTGAGTAGCAGCATGGTTTGGGTGTCACTGCCTTCGCTGGGGAGTAATTGGCTTCACTGGCTGACTGACATCCCTGGCTGGGCTTAGTGCTTTCATTTTGGCCTCACACTCACACAGTGGTTGGGTTGCTGGTTTAAGTTACTGGTTTATCTTGGAGCAGTAAGGCGCCAGATGTGGGGCAGTCTCACCCTTTCTGGAGGCTTGTTTGTTTGTTTGACACATATTAAGCGTTTTTTTTAAAAATCCTGTTTTGCAGTGTGTAGCAGTGTGTAGCAGTCGAGACAAATTTCATGGAGGTAGCTAGTAGGTTAGTGAAAAACTGCTGAGTTGTGCAATCTGTTGAGTTGACAACGTAACTAAACAGTAGTGTCAAGAAATAATTTTTGCGCCGTTGTGGGTGAGATTATCATGCGCTGTCAATCACATGACATACTTCTCATTGGTTATTTCCTATCAATGCTTGTTTCCTATTGGGATAAAACTTTGGCTGTACATGAAACCCACCTACAGTGGTTTAAGAACTTATTTCTACAATTGAAATACCACCCAAAAACAGCATTATTTATATACTACCTTTATACCACAATATGCTAAGGCAGTACTTCTCAATCTTGTTCCTGACATCCCACCCCGCCGAAATGTTTTCATTCCGACCCACACTGATTTCAACCTGCCACATTCATTATTAGCCTATTAAGGACCATATAAGCCTGATTAAAATAAGGCTGGAATGAAAACATTATGGCTGGGCGCCAGGAGCAGGACCGAGAACCGTGGCTATACAATCATGTAAACATACATTCTAATTACCTGCATTTACTGCACTAGTGAACTTGACTGCCCCCAGTTATTACAAATGTACTGGCCCAGCCCAGTGCAGCTCTCTCGTTAATTCCGGAATGCAGTAAGTGACGAGCAATGGCCGGGCTCCGTGCTCTCAGTCATATGAAGCAGTGTTGCTCCATCTGCTAGCTGGGTTGAGCTCATCACCCATGTCTTAAAAATGCTACAAACATTCCCTAGCATTACAGTTGCAGCCTTTCCTGTCTGAAACATGAATCACACTCAGCATAAAACTTACTTAATTTTATTCATGAATGTTTATTATGTTACTCAGCCCGCAGCTAGCTTATGTGCAATGGAGGTACCATCCTGTCCTTGTTTCCTGGGGGTGTTTGCCCTCTAACCAGCCACACTGGAGCTTCCTGCTCTTTCTGCTCCGGATCGATCCAGTGAGTCTGTGTGTCACGTGAGTGAGGATGTGGTCCTGATGAGAGGAGCACAGGGGACGGGGAATTGAAAAGCAAGAGCAGGGAACTCCTGAGGAACTCAAGCTGTGTCACCAGGCCCAGAATCCAGACAGATGGATCTCATAAGACTGTGAAAGTCTGTATTCTCAATTGTCTGCAATTTTCGTTCCACTGAGGCATTAAGGCATCAAGAAATCATAAAAATATAAATAAAAGCACTTTTGGTTTGTTTTTAGTGCAAAATTTGTTGGATTCATATATCAGGTGTCATTTGCATGCTAGTCTGCATCATCTGCCTTGTGAGGTTGCTGATGGTGACCAGCAGCACCCCCTGCTGTCCGCACTCCTGCTCTGCATTGTGCCAGGTGGCCCTCAGCAGAAACAGGAGGCAGCAGCTGCTGGGTTCCCAACAAAAAGAAAAGAGATTAATTGAGAAGCTGGACGATGACTCCCGCCTCCGTCGTCTTTCAGAGTCCCTTTCAAATACTTTCCACAGACCTTCCACAGACCTTTCTTTGCTTATCTCTTTGGAGATTGTCCCGTTCTTCTTAGCCCAGCCGTCCTGCCTGCCCCTCGTCCGTGACGTCTGGCCCCTGGCATGGCTGCTGGGGGGTGGGAGGTGCCGTGTAAGTGCCAAGATGCAAAATCTGAACACTCACATGGAAATGACTAGAATTAACTGAAGGGACCACAACTTTTTTTAAAAATCCGAAACACACACACACACACACACACACACACACACACACACACACGCTGGACAAAACAAACACAGCAGAGAAATGTTATCAGAGCTGGTAATGAGTAGTTATAAGCAAACAACATATGAGGCGACTTCTCCAGTTTCTACGTCCCTCCATATCTACACAAAAAAACTGTCTGAAATTAGTTGTTTTGTTGTTATTTTGCTGTCTCTCTTTTATACAGTTTCAGGGTCATGTGACTAGTTGCTTTCTTACATCCCCCCACTGTGTATAACACCTTTAATCAACCTCAAGGTCAGTGATCCACTTGAATCTGAAACAGCAAAATTATTTGAGCACCCAGCAGGAAGCCCAGGTCTTAGGTCACCTGTAATCAGTGTAAATGTATGCATTGTACCATACACATCAGGACAACACATCCCGTTCTCAATAACACTCCTGGATTTGGTCCTGGCACTGAAAGTTATTGAGTCAACTGAGTTGATTAAAAGTGTCCACTGTTTTTAAAGGCCCGGTGTCCCTTTTACGGCTCGGGTTTAGACGGCTATGCACTGATCCAGGACCTGGTAACTTACATGAATGTAAACACTACCCAAGGGACAGCTTGTTATCCACTGCTCTTTGTCTCTGGTCGCTCTCATGTCGGAGACACGCTGCCCATCAGCCAGTAGCGTGAGGAATCTGACAAATGCTGTATGCATCACTCCAGGACCGGCCTTCACGTCTCCCGGGAAGTTAAACAAAGACGAAACTCCGCCCCAAGTCCGAATGAGACACACCTCCACGGCAGAAGCACGGAAAGCACTGCAAAGTCTATTGTGTTTCCTAATGAAACATTTAGTAATATCAGTACTTAAAGATTAATTTACAAGCCTCATTTATGTTCTTCACTGGGGCTACATACTCCTTCGGCCGCGGCTGTTGCGCATCCTTTTACAGGGAAATTGTGAACTTTCAGGGTTGTTCAAAGGGCAGGGCTGCTGCTTCAGCCCGCTCTTGACTCGCTGGATCGGGAGGAGTGACTGATCGCGCAAGGTGAGCTTCGACAGGTGGAGAAACGCTTCATTTAACTCGGCCGACTCTTCCTCGTACCACAATAAGGAGGTCGACGGGAGTAACGAACACAGACTTCAAAACTAGTAATAAGAGAATACATTATAACACAACTGGGGGACGAACAGGTAATCCATCACAATTTTACTGAGTTTTTGGGTGTTTTTTAATGGTAGTTTCTTGAAGGTGCCGGTCGGCTTGAGCAGGTATGTTTATACTGACATGAAATGTATGTGCCTGTTTACTAACGAGCCTAACTATGCAAACTGTTCGGAGGGAATAGCTACACCCTTAAGAACCATTAAACTGGTTAGTGTTTTTAATAAAACTCTCCTTTCGTGTTAAAATAAATATTTTATTTTCAAATTTAAAATGATTAAGTCTTTAGATGGCTATCTTAATTCGGTATGAAATTAGAAACAATTCACTGAATGATATTACATAACAACGACAACATCGGAGATTATGAATATATTTAGATTTATGTGGAAGGGTGCAGCGCGAGCTGTCAGTGCACATCTGGAGCCTTTCTCAGGCGCGTGGGCAGGGCAAAGCAGGGCACTGTGGGTAAAATGTTACATTATGACTGAAAGACGTCTCTTGGATCGATGCACTTTGACCTGCGGCACTGCGCTGTGTAATTCCGCACAGTTCTGCGTCAATGTCAACTAACCACTTCAGTCCCTTTGGGCAATGGTGCCTTGTCCCAGTTGTTATGCAGTATTTTGTTGTTTTGTGATTTCTCTTTAAATCCACCTATTAATCTGATGCAGGGAAACTATTTTTAAACCCCAGGAGGTTTGCCTTTGCGGTAATCTTCATATTGTTCAGCAAGTTCGCTGTCGGGTCACGGATGGTTGCAGTTTGATTCTGACCGTGAAGAACGTTTGATTGTGTGTTGTGGCCAGATTGTTAGAAAAGTAAAAAATATAGCTTTTAGTATTTAAATACCTTGAATATACTCTGCTACCTCCTTCAGTGACTCTGCCTGAGGCTTATCTCTAACCCATGATAAGGAAGACATTATTTCTGTACTTTGCTTCTGTTCACATGCCATGACATTGTATAGGCCCACCGATAAGATTATTAGTGTATATGATGTATGCATCAAGTAGGCCTCCAATCATGATTTACAAATTCTCTATCTCTACATTTTTACAGGCATATAACCTCTGATGTTGACGTTTATAGCTGGTTAGTGATAGAACATGCATGAATTATCAATGAAGTAGTGGCTGCAGCAAATAGATTAGTATAAATTGCATAACTCTGGTAAGGAGTCCACACCAACTAGTTTAACAAGTTGTGGTTATGTATCCCCTCTGGTCAAGAACTAATTTCATTCTGTTGTCATGAAGTATTTTAGCACAGTTATTGAGAGCAGATTGGAAATGGATCTTCAAGATTAAAGTGAGGAAGAAGGTAGAATTGATAGTGAGATTAAGACTTTAGGTGGGATAGAGAACAAGCTGGGCAGCAGCTGGGCAGTGGCAGTGTGAGCAGTGAGGCAGAGGCAGTGTGAGCGATGAGGCAGGCTGCGCAGTGGCAGAGTGTGCAGTGAGGCAGTGTGAGTGGTGAGGCAGGATGCATAGTGGCAGTGTGAGCAGTGAGGCAGTGTGAGCGGTGAGGAAGGCTGGGCAGTGGCAGA